CTTCCAACCCATCTGCTACCTCCACCCTCTAGAACTCCTCAGGTGCAAACCCTTGACTGTCCAGCACCTTGCGATGTCCTCCTGACCTGAAAGGCCCTATGTAAATACAATTTGCTGTTGATGACCAGGACCCAATGGCTACTTTGTGAATGACATCAGAGGTCAGCTTCTTCCTATCCCAGTAATTCTTGGTTTCCTAAAGATGTGAGTCCCACCTAATGTTTAACCCTTGGTAAGGAATTCCTGTCTTAATTTCCCTTTGTCCAATTATAATGTAATACACTTTGACATAAATAGAAAAACATGATAATGCAAAGGATTACACAGTCTGTATGGTCTCTGGAATTGAAAATGTCTAGCCAGTCTCTGCAGTCCTCATCTCTATTTCAACTGTTCTTGAGTTATTTTAATTATTTTGCTGGCTGACATTTTTAATAAAGTTGTGAAGGTGAAAGGGGAGAGGAATCCTCTGATTGTTGCTAATAATCGGCCTTACTGGTGTGATCTGATAACACGAAAATCCCTTGTAAATGTTTCCATCTGAAATAAAACTAAATTCCAAGACCAGTAAAGGCTTATCCCGTTATGATCAGGGCTCAAGTCCTTTTGGTTGCTTGACTATGCAAGGCCAACTGTTATTGATCCCTGGCTATGTGAATGGCTGAGAAATATCAAGTGATGGAAAAACAGGAACAGATCTCCTTATAAATGAATCCCTTTACTCAGCCCACTCAATATTCTGCAAAATAAATTGCTCACCAGTCTGCTTCTAAACCAAACGGTCTTGTGTTTGAGAGGGCTAACTGAAAAGTTTTTTAAAATACAAGCTAGCCACCAGAAATTCCAGAGAAGTCAACAGCTAATTCAATGTTCCTTTATTTCTGTTCAAAGCTGCAGCTCTTGTGCATTGTTGTATGTGACTGGAGCTGGATCCACATAAACTGAGGTCTCTCAATTTATAGTTCACCTGCTTTCATGTAAAGTATTTCTTATAGTAGAGGAAGGAGACTGGGAATAAAGCACCAAATCTATATACAATGAACTTTGGATAAAATCAAAAGGGACAGGCCACTGGGAATATTAAATGCTACATTTAAAGAATAACCCTAAATTCTTTTAGGTGAAATTTGAGTCAGGGATCAGCCTGGCTCAATTGGCTGTACTCTCGCCTATGAGTCAGAATGATGTTTGTAGCCTCATGCCCGAATTTTGAGTCCATAGTCTAGGCCAGTGGTGGCCAATCCTTTTGGTCGGCAAGCAAAATAAGTTTTCTTGATTGAATGTTTCTTGCTTTATGCCAAAAATCCAGAAATATTCAATCAAGAAAAACCTGGAAACCCACTAATGATTGAACACAGACTTCCTAGACTAGTGTGAATGTTCAGAGCGGTAGCTTGGCTGACACTCCAGTGCCGTGCTGAGGAAACTCTGCATGTTGGAGGTGCCGACCTTCAGATTAGATGTTAATTTGAGGTCCCATCTGACTGTTAAGACAGATGTTAAAGATCCCATGATTCTATTCAAAAAGGAAGTTTTTCCTGGTATCCAGTCCAACAATCCCCCAAATGAAATTCTTTATTAATTTCATTGCTGTTTGTGGAGCATTGCTGTGTGCAAATTGATCGCTGCATTTGGCTACAAAATTCAATCACTACAATTTAATGTGAAATTTATTGAAGTGCTTTGAGATATCTCCTGATATAAAAGTGCTATGTCAAATGTAAGGAATATTATTAAGCTGAACGAAAGGCAAATGAGACACAGAATACGTTGGTGGTGAATTTGACTGCAGTAAACATGACCACCACTAGTCTGACTAGCCAAAACCTTAAACTGACATCCTGTTCAGTTTTAGATTTGGGAAAAAAGAGGCAATCTTATTGAAAATGGGGCATATGTCAGAATCAGGAAAATCTATTCAAAGGATTTCTCACCTTGTAACTTTTAGACCCCTTACTTTGAATAAATTGGTTCCAGAGACCAACAAAATATGTAGAAACCCAACTCTTATTAATGAACAGCAGAAAACACTTTTGTATTTACACAATGTTTGTCCAGAGTAACTTATGAGTTCCCTCCACATAAGTATACTTAAGTATACTATTGTATGAGAACTATTGGGATGAATTTTGCAATGTTTGTAACGCATTCCTTTCCTTGTGATAATTATTACAACAAATGTATTATCAAAGACTGGAACTTTCACTCCACAGTATCCTTAATAACGCAGTAGACAATACATTTTCAGAAGCTAATAATTGTTATGGATTTAAGTTTTTTTTCCTCCCAGTAGTTCTGGGGAATGAGGTGGGGCAAGTGGAGCAGGTTTCAATAGGAGAGCATCTGGACAACAGTGATCACAACATCATTAAGTTTGGAGTACTTATGGAAAGGGACAAGGAACAATCAAAGGTGAAGACACTCAACTGGAAGAGAGCTAATGTAAGTGAGTTAAAAAGGGAAAGAAAGATTGGCAGATAAAACAGCTAACGAGCAATGGGAAGTCTGCAAGGAGGAGATAGTTCAGGGACAGAACAAATAGGAAAATTGGGATTAAAATAAAACAGAAAAAGGAGGCTTATGGGGTCATGTTTAAAATACAGAAGATAATCAAATAGAATATAAAAAAATACAAAGGAGAACTGAAAAAGGAAATAAGACGGGCAAAGAGACTGTATGAGAAAAAGATTAGCAGGTAACATAAAAGGGAACCCTAAGGTATTTTATAAGCATATAAAGAAGAAAAGGTTAATCAATGGTAGGGTGGGTCCAATTAGGGACCAAAGAGGAAATCTTCTTGTGGAGGCAGAGGACATGGCTGACATACTGAATGAGTACTTTGCATCTGTCTTCACAAAAGAAGAGGATGCAGCCAATGCTACAGCATCAGAGGTGAGGGTAGAGAAATTGGATAAGATAAGAATAAACTGAGAGGAGATACTAAAAAGATTGTCGGTGCTCAAGGTAGGTAAATCACCCGGTCCGAACTGGATACATCCTAGTTTACTGAGGGAAGTAAAGGTGGAAATAACGGTGGCTCTGGCCACAATCTTTTAATCCTCCTTGGACACCGGGGTGGTGCCAGAGGACTGGAGGGTTGCAAATGTTACTCCCCTGTACAAAAAGGGACAGAAGGATAAAACCAGGAAGTACATGTCAGTCAGTCTAATGTCAGTAGTGGGGAAACTTCTAGACAGTATAATCCGGGACAAAATAAATTTTCACTTAGAAAAATATGGGTTAATAAAGGGCGGCCAACACAGATTTGTTAAAGACAAATCATATCTAACAAACCTGATAGAGTTTTTTGATGAAGTAACGGAAAGGATGGATGAAGGTAGTGCAGTTGGTGTAGCTTATATGGATTTTCAAAAGGTGTTTGATAAAGTGCCACATAAGAGACTTGTAAACAAAATAGAAGCGCACGGTATTAAACTGCAGCATGGATACAAAACTGGCTGGGAGACAGAAGCATAGAGTGATGGTGAATGATTGTTGTTCTGATTAAAGGGAAGTGTGCAGTTGTGTCCCTCAAAGGTTCGTATTGGGACCACTGCTGTCTTTGATCTATATAAATGACCTGTACTTGGGTATGGGGAGTACAATTTCCAAGTTTGCAGATGAATCTAAGCTAGGAAAAGTAATAAACAGTGAGGAGGATAGAAGCAGACTGCAATGGAACATAGACAGACTGGTAAAATGGGCAGACATGTGGCAAACAAAGTTTAATGTGGAGAAATGCAAAGTGGTGCATTCTGGGAGGAAGAATGAGAGGCAATATAAGCTAAATAATATAATCTTAAAGGGGGTGAAGGAAGAGAGAGACCTGGGAGTTCAAATAAGTAAATCTTTGAAGGTGGCAAAAGACAGGTAGATAAAGCCGTTAAAAAGCATGCGGGTTACTAGGCTTTATAAATAGGGGCATAGAATGCAAAAGTCAAGAAGTTATGATGATCCTTTATACAACATTGTTTCAGCCTCAGCGAGAGTACTGTGTTCTGGGCACCACACTTCAGGAAGGATGTCAAGGCATTGGAGAAGGTCCAAAGGAGATTACCAGGATGGTACCAGGAATGAGGGACTTCAGTTATCAGGAGAGGCAAGAGAAGCTAGGATTATTCTCCTTGGAGTAGAGAAGGTTAAAAGGAGACTTAATAGAAGTTTTCAAAATTATGAGGGGATTCGATAGGATGAACAAGGAGAAACTATTTCCACTGGCGGGTGGGTCGGTAACCCGAGGGCAATGATTTAAAATAGTTGTTAAAAGAAACAGAGGGGAGATGAGCAGACACTTTTTCACACAGCGAGTTGTTCGGATCTGGAATGCATTACCTGAAAGGGTGGTGGTAGCCGATTCAATAACAACTTTTATAAGAGGAGATAATTATTTGGGGAGGACAAGTTTGCAGGGCTATGGGAAGAGAGCGGGGGAGTGGGGTTGAATTGGATAGCTCTTCAAATAGCCAGCACAGACTCGATGGGCCGAATAGCCTCCTTCTGTTCTGTATAATTCTATGAGTCTAAGATTTTGGTTTGTTTGAAAATGTCAAAATTGTCACCTTGCTGCTTTAAATGAACTGCTTTAATGAAGTGCTACCTGGAATAAAGGGTGCTATAAAAATGGAAGTTGTTGTTACTTTAAATGGAGCGGCAAAGTTTTCTGAATAGTGAGTTGCCCCATCAATGATGTGCTCAAAGTGTGTGCTATTTCACAGCTGTTTGTGGGACATTGCTGTGGGCAAGTTGGCTACCACATTCCCTTACAGAGTACACAGTCATTGTGGATCATGTTGCGATGTACTCTCAACATGAAAGGCATCATATCAAATGTAAGGATTATTAATAATAATAGTAATCGTTATGCTTATTCTTTTTTGGTACACTTCGACAATGCAATCCCCCACCACCGCACTGGATTCTTTGCTTAGACTATGTGAGTTCAAGTGCAAATATGGGGTTTGAATTTCAACAAGGTATTAACCTCAAACTTTTCATTTCAGATTGTCTTTTCTCTGTGTTTGGCATTCTGGGGTTTACGAAGTGCAAGCATAGTATGAAAATTGCCAAAGGACATGGAACAGCTCCACAGTTACGTGGCTGACATCTACACACTTCACAGTGTACTTGCTCTGAACATAATGAGAAGACATCATCTGCATTTATGGTTTATGAAAATCTGCATTTCAAATCTACAATTCAAAGAAAGTTGTTAAAAATGTTTTAGCAGCTTGTAATTTTTGTGAAGATGCTGAATAAAGATGGTACAAAATGAAACATTCCATCAGACAATTTCTCAAGCTAAAATAGTAAGAAAAAGCAGAGTTACCTAGTGTTTAGAGTGAAAAACACAATGTTCCATAACAGATTGAATCTCATGTCTGCATTGTTTCCTCTTACAAATATAGATGATGCATACATGAGGGACAAGGGAATAGACGGGATTAGGAAGTGCGGAGGCTCATGTGGAGTGCAGACACCGGGATGGTCTAGTTGGACTGAATAACCGCTTTCTGTGTTATGTTCTCCAAAATTCTATGAATGTTATTATTTGCACATTTTTCACCCTCATAATAATATGCACTGCCCATGGGATTTTCTCTCTAATTGACTGAAAATTATTTATTGATGAACTGGACTCATCAAGTCTGTGCTGGTGTTGTCTCCACATCACAAAGTCTGATGAGGTTCCCTGCCGTTGAACAGCCTGCCAACACTTAACAGTGTAAGCTCCATGAAGAATGGCATTTGAGTGAGCTTGTGAAAGGTTATGTGGAAATATATGGCAGCTGTAAAAATCAAACAATTGGGCAAGATATTCTTAGTGCATTAGCAATTTGTGTCAGTTCATATTTAGTAATTCTGGGAGGGTCTAACTTGCAGTATTTCTTCGTGGAATACCAGCAACCAGAAATACATCAAGCCAACCCACAAAAATTCTGTTCTGGAAGTAAATTGCATCTAACATGAATGCCAACGTCAATAAATTTACTAATAATTGCAAGGGGGGGAGGTGAGTGTGAAATCACTGACATTCATAGTAACACTTCATATATACAATAAAATCGAATAGGAATTTTGTGATTTTTTTGAGAGACATAAATACATCAATGTTCCATTGTGATAGATTTAAGCACTTATGATTCAGTAAAATAGGTTTGTATGTAAGTAACAATGGTGTAATGTATCAGAAATGTATTGTCTTCTGCAGTCAAAATGTAAAAAATCTGTTCATCAAAAGCAAGGAGGCACTTTGGGTCATTTCCAAACACAGTAATTGTCAATCACTTGTCTGCAGACTCTACTAGAATTGTTTTAAAAGACCTAATTGTTTCTTGTCTTTTTCTACCTTTTGATGAAGCACTTTAAAAGTTAGCTTTGCAAGTGTTGCTTACTTGTAAAGTAAGCAACACTATCTCTCTCATGGAACATGTGTACATAACAAACAAACAGATACACATAAAATAAATAAAGAAATGCATACGCACATAAATTATAATAATAATCCTTACATTTAATATAACATCTTTACATCAGGAGAACACACAAGCGTTTCGCAGGATTTTCAACAACAACTTGCATTTATATCACACCTTTTACATGAGGTAATGTCTCGGAGTGTTTCGCAGGAGTGTGGTTTGGCACCTAAATGGAAAGTAAGAGGAGTTGATCGAAGGCACGGTCAAAGAATAATTTGAAAAGAGGCAAAGGGAGAGCAAGACAGAAGGACTGAGGTTGGGAGTTCCAGAGATTCGGGGCATGCTCTCCAATGGTGGAGAGGAAAGGACAAGGGACGTGCAGACCTGAGTTAGCTGAGGGAAGGCAGCAGGTAGTGGAATGAAATGTGAGCAAAGCAGCATTTAGTGCAATGTGTAGTGACTGTGTATTTTGAGGGTAAATGAGGGAGAGAAGACATTAGGGTTGCTTGCCACTTGTAAATTTACTGAGCTTGGTAGCTTAACATTGCCACCAATGAGCTACGTCAAATACTAAGATTTAAATCAGGATTATTGCGATGTAATATGTTGTGCTTGATATCATCATGTTGTAAATAGCTCAGCTTTTAAAGTTTTGTTTGCAACGTTGGGAGGTTTTTATCTCCATTGCAGTAACCAGTGGGACTTCTTTAGGAAGGGAATCTCCCACCTTGCCATGAAGATCACAACACATAACACACGCTCTCCACCATACCTCACTGACCGTGCCTTTGGTCATCATAACCTTCAAATTCAACCTCCCCTCCGTCTTCTCTGTGAAGGGGTTTGAAACATTCATTCTCTGCGAAAGGCATTATCTTAGTGCAAGTTATTATTGCAAGTAATAACCCTAATTTCCAGATTAAAAGCTCAGACTGACGCTTACAATAAAAATGGTGCAGATTTATTCTAGCTTTTATTCAGTTTAGAAACTCACACTGCTAGTCCTGGGCCTTAGGAAACCTGGGATCCCGGGATTTTTACGTAGCTGCTGCAAACTGCCTAATGTGTGTCCCCTGTCACTTTGCTGCAAAGAAAAACACTGTGCATGTGTCAGGCTGGTAATTTAATACCGCCTGGCAGCAGTGAACTCAACTGGGCCAGACACGTGGAGTTGCTGTAACTCTACATAGAGTTGTTTTTGTATATTCCTGATTTGAACTTAATACAGTGTCCTGAGACAAATGGCTACTTAGAATATATCTTAAGTTAATGTTATTATACCAAATATCCTAATGTTGATATGCTTCATATTATCCAAATCTCACCGACTGGTGTTCATGTTAACTGTTACTAGCATCCTGCTGTGGAAATTGCACCACTTTAGAAATCTTAAGCTTCTGCTTCCAGTAAATCAATCATTTAAGATACACCACATGGTAGACAGCCCTGGTAGGGTGGTGGATAAAACTACAACTTATGGACTGGGAGCTCACAAGTTCAAATCTCAGTCTGTGCTAAGTTTTCTGGTCTCATCCAGGGCTGCATGTGAAGGTTGAACTGGCGCCTGTCACGGTTAAGGAGGATAAAGCCATACAGGCTTCCTGCATCTCGTCCCAATTCTGCAAGCTACGGAAGTCTGTACGGGAGACTGGTGGGGAGAGATTGGGCTCAGCTGTGATGTCCTCTACAAAGCAAGTGGCCTACATGAATAACAGCCACTTGGATGGGTAGCAATCTATCAGCACCTGTGGAACTGCACCCCAGTATGAGGAGACCCAACCAGGAGAAGAGAGGAATACAGAGAAATCACTGGGGGCAGGGAGTCATCCCACTCAGCTCCTGTTAACCCTGCAAGCTAAGTCCTAATAGGTAAGGTGGTTCTAGCTGGACAAGCAGTGGGAAAGCTTGCCAGACAGCAATATGAAATGGCAAGCCATGCAGTTTTAGCTGGTTAGACTCCAGCAGTAGCCCAACCCACACTCTAGTGTCCTCAAGCCTTGGCTCTTGCCAATTTGTGCCTAATATTTTCCGGTATCAGGTAAGCAGGATGCATCCCTCCAGGGAGAGAATGTGTATTCCATTCCAACAATTTATCTCTGGGATTTCCATGGGTCGATGGGATGCATAGAATTCTCAATTTGGTTTGGATACTCTTAAGCACGTGTCAGATACCCCGCTGACCAATACAATTTACATTTTCTTTTAAACTTATACATCACAAGAATATCGGAGGAAGTTCAAATCTGCCAAAATGTTTTCCAGATTTAATTTAAAGGAGCAGTGGCATTTCCAGAAACATCCAAATAAGTAGTTTATCAGAATATAAAGCATAGGAGAGGACATGTCTGTAATTGCTACTACAACCACGTTCATGCCACTATACACATCATAGATTTCCAAAAAATCATTAAAATGAAAAAAAAGTCCATTTATGTAGCTTCCTTCACACAGGTAGTGTCGCGGAGCATGTGCACAATGGTGGAGTTGGTCATCGAGTGAAGGAGAAGGTGATGGGAGACAGATAGATCTTAAAGTGGCATTTAAAGATGGATAAAGAGGTGGCAAACCGGAGGGATTGAGGGAGAGAGTTCCAGAGGTTTACACGTGAAGTGTAAAGCCAAATGTCTAAAATGCACAAGTTCCTTCTTTGGCTGATATACTATATTTACAATTATATAGTGCTGCAAAGAGGAATTGTGACAAAAGCAAGTAATGTGCCATTCTTTCCAATTGACTTTTTAAGAATAGTTGCACACACAACCCAGTTAAAACAAGGAGACTCAGGTCAAGGAGGGAACAGACCACCTGCCTTTGAGTCCAATTGTAATGATAAAGTCCAGTGTGATACATTAATTAGTTGAAAGGGAGTGGGATCTATGAATATTGTCAGATCCCACTAAAATGTATGCAAGACCCAAACAGGCCTTCACAATTAGGGGAAGTTGGTGCTCACTGTTAAATATTTTAACTCAGCAGATGATAGGAAAGGGGAATGACGACCCATCAGCACTCTCCAAATCTCCTGAGTTTACTTTGGATTTACCTCCCAGTGTGTGGTTCCTGTTTCTGCCTATTTCCACTGTTTACCATTTGGAGTCCTGAAGAATTCCTGGTGTGCTTTGACTTTTTGTAGTGTTGTCTTAATGACATAAATGAATTCCTGCCGGGCACACCCACACCCTCCTGGGGGTCGTTGTCTTACACACAAGCTTACCAGTTTGTCTTTTAACTCTTTCACCAACGCACTGTATTTAATGGAAAACAAACACTTCCTGAGATGCTAAAGAGCTGAAATTTCTGTCTATTTAAATGGTACCAAATCGCAGAAAATTCTTAAACAATCTTAATTCAGAAATCAGTTTTCCACTTTATTTTAAAAGTAACCGTCTTCCACATTAGTAAAGAATTTACTAATTTCCACCAGTTTCCCTCCCCCCCAATTTGTAGGTGGGATGCATGGAACTCTCAGTCTGGTTTGGATACTCTTAAGCACGGTAATGGGTGTCCGCACGCATCGGACACCCAGCTGATCAAGAAAAANTATTTTATGTCTGATATTTTAAGACAAAATGAACAGAAAATAGGTGAAGACTAGTTGAAAGATGAGATTTCAAAAGGACAAACATTCCCGCTCTGATGTGCTATGAAGTTATTATTTTTACTTTAATAGGAATAAAAACACAGAGATACAAAAAGTTTGAATTCTGTTACAGTACAATACAAAATTACAAAATTTGATTGTATATTGGAAATCAATCTACACAGTAGATGGTTGCACAACAATAGGTTTACAGGAGAAGCTTGTACCATAAATTTAATATGTTTAGACTCAATAGAGGCAATGATTTTCCTTTAGTC